AAACAAATGATCCATATTTTATGTATTGTATTTTCTTCTGAAAATCTAGAGCAAAGGATCATTTCATATTCCTATAGTAGTTCAACATTGCAGATTAAAAACACAATGACTCACAAAACCGACAAAATTTTCAGATGAAAATCAAGATTTCTCCGAGGTTAACACAGAGTCAAAAGCGGAGGATAAAATCCTGGAAATTGTTTGTGCTTGTTCCAGGCTCTTGCACAGATAAACCACGGGCTGTATTCTTCATTGCTTGCATCTGCGGTTTTCAGAGCCAATAAGCCTTTCCCTGCCCCGAGACCATCCTCATAACACAACATCCAGATGGGTGAAATGAAGAACAGACCTGTGCAAAACGTCACACTTACTGATACTGAGGCTTCTTCCTCCAGAGGAACAAAGGGCAACTTTCCACCTTGCTGACCTCGAATCCCTTTCTCATGAATTCACATTTTAAGAAGCCATAATACATTCATGTACTTCAAGCATGGTTTTAAAATTTACCTGCATAAACTCACTTGACTCTTAAAATCATGTATTCGGATGATGAAATTTCATTATTTGAATGGTGAAGTGGTATGTTAACACCAGACTTGATTTCGGAACCAACTGGAGACAATTTCTGAGGTTGGAGTATTTCCCTAAGGGCTGCAGTGTATACTCGGAACCACCTACCAATGTGTGGTACTTTGTCTCCCATACCCAGAATACATAAGACCTCTGAAACTGTTAACAAGGCTGACAGAATTGTCCTGTAAAGAAACAATGGAGTCACTTAAGATTCAGGCAGTGTGTTTCTTATATGAACAACAAAAGCAAGAAGAACAAAGGTGCCTACTCCCCTTGTTTTTGTCCTTCAGGGACACTGTTCCCCCGGGTAGCAGCAAAACCAAAGCAGCTGGATTTGGTGCAATTTGGGTGTTGGCACGCCTTCATGGGATAGCTCGGTGGTTTTGCAGCCTGCAGCTGTACCCAAAAGGGGGCGAGGTAGAAAGCCACACATCTTACCACACTGATGAGAAGGTGCCACGCATCCTGCAGAAGATGAGCTGGAGTAGGGATGGCCTTGAAGCAGAACCCTTGATGTCTCCCCTGCTCTCGTGTTCTAGAAGGACCACAAAGGTGACTGGCAAGGCTTAGATCAGATCAGATGCAGTGCTTATGTGGTCTATGAAATGTGCCACCCCAAAGATGCCTCTTGACATAAGATTTATTTTAAGAAACAGTGATAAAGGAGAAGCTAAAAAAAAAAAAATAACAGCTACCCCTGCATAAGGGAAATTTACATCTATAAAGGTGATCTCCACTCCTAAGGGTGTCTCCCTTTCTGTACCCAGAAAAGATGGATGACCTGAAATCACAAGAGACTCATCAATGGAGAAGACATTTTAAATCCGTAATAATTTTGTTTTGAGACAGGGTCTCACTGTGTAACCCAGGCTGCCCTCAAACTCATGATCCTCCTGCCTCAGCCTCCTAAGTGCTGGAATTACAGGTAATGCACCACCATGCCTGGCCTGTAACAACAAATCTAACTCTTGTTTATCACATTTTTCTTAGTCATCTCCATAGGTGGTGACTTCCCACATCCTCTGTCTTGTTTTCGTCTGGAGATAGAGCTTAAGCCGGGATTGTAAGCTACCCCTGGGAGAATTAGGCACATCCCTGGCTATCTATATGCAGTCAAGTATGCGTGTGATACTGTACAGTAAAACTGCATTATTCACAGACTTATTATATATAGTTTTGACCAAGCACAGTCAAAAAAGATCAATTTTTAATAAAAATAAAAAAATTCAAGAATAAAAATATTAAATTCCCCATCCTAAGGCTTGGTTGACAAGCAAGAATTCTTAGTCCCACGTTATTGTCAGTTGTGTTTAAATCATTGTGTGATCTGCTGAGTGTTTCTCTGCCCTTCATTTTGTGAATCTGCCTCCCAAAAAGCAAATGGTTCCCTAAAGCAAGGTAAAAGTTATGGCCATCCTTCCCAAACAAAAAGGGCACTTCTTGTGCTTAATTTAAGTGACAAAGTGAAAATCTGTGTTTGTTGAAAGGCGACAAGTCTTTAGTGGAAGTTGGGTGGCGTTATGGGAAAATGAATCTGGCATCGGCAGTGCAGTACAGAACTCCATGCATCCTGGGCTTGCCTGGCTTTCCTCCATGGTGGTCCCTGCGGAACCAAATCCCGCTGATGCAAGGGTCTGCTTTCCATCGTCACTGGGGTGTACTCCACAGAAGTTCTAAAAAGTTCAGTGTGAGCACGTGTGCTGCGTTGTGACAGCAGCAGCCTCATCCACCTGTCTCTTAGCTGCATCAGGAGGCTGTGTGGCGGTTCCAGACCTTGTTGGTGGTTAGGGGCCCGGGCTGGGCCAGCGTGCACGAAGTTGGAGCAACCTGGGTGGTGTTAGATGGCAGGGGCGAAAGTCCTTCGCCGGCTCCAGTGACCATGGCGGTGTTTCACGACGAGGTGGAGATCGAGGACTTCCAGGATGACGAGGACTCAGAGGCGTATTTCTACCCCTGTCCGTGCGGCGACAACTTCTCCATCACCAAGGAAGGTTTGGAGAATGGGGAAGACGTGGCAACATGTCCTGGTTGCTCTCTCATTCTAAAAGTGATCTATGACAAAGATCAGTTTATGTGTGGAGAAACCGTCCTAGCTCCTCAACCAACAAAGAATTGGTTAGATGCTGAGGAAGCTTCGAGTCCAGATCCTAAAGAGTTGGGGACGAGCCAAAGTGGAAATAACCTGTGCCAAGTTACCAGCTTCTTCGTGGGGACAGCTGCTCTATGGTTTACTGTTCCATGAGAGCATGGCTCTTTTCCTCAGCTGCCGAGTTTGTCACACCAGGATTTCATGCTTACAACTTCGAGTTGAAAAGATTCTTAATTATCCATCTGAATTGAAAGGAAGATAATTTTAAACCAGTGCTTTCTCAGTTTCATCATATTTATGTCTCAAACCTAATTCAGTATCAACAGCAACATCTACCTCGGTATTAGGGTTCCTTAATTAAAAAAATTATATTTTTGACTTAGTCGTTAAAATGATTAAAATTGTCCCTTTCTTTGAAATTTGACATCAGCTTTGTTCTAACTCATAAGAAAGATCTGTTGTTTTGTCAGTACTGCTCTTCCAGGTCCCTCACCAAGCCCTCCACCATCTTGCCATCGCTGGAATGTTCTTGCTCTGTGTACATGCCACTTTTGTTACCCTTCATGCACAGAGTGTCGTTGTCCTGTTAGAGAGAAAAGTCAGGCCACAATTCTCCCTAGTTAGGAGTTAGTGAGTAAGGAAGAACAGTCTAAACTGAATTGGCCAAAGAAATGGGAGTCCCTTCTACTCTGCATATTTCCTGAAAGTCAGAACAAGGTAAAAAGAAAAACAGTCAAAGGAAATGAAATTGGTAACAATGAGAGGAGTAAAAAGTGCCAGCTTAGTAAATGAAATACTTGATGTCAGAACAAAAATTTTTGAGCGAAAAAGGGGAGTTTGAGACAGTGTCTCACTACGTAGCCCAGGCTGGCCTCAGACTTGACTATCTTCCTGCCTCTGTGTCCTGAGTGCTGGGTTGACAGCTAGCTACTTGTTTTTTGATGAGACTGAGAAATTGCCTTTCATATAGGGGTTAATGTCAAGTCCTCATGGCTGGTGGCAGGCTTGCACCATATCACAGCCTTGTGTCACTATCCCTAAGAGGTAAAGCATCTACAATGGAGAATCGGGTTGACTGTGGAGGTCCACTCTGAACAAATATGCCCATGAGGGCACAGATAATAAGTCTCCATAGTGTGCAACCAAACCAGACATGCACTTCTGCTAAGAAATGTTGCCCTGGAGAAAGAAAAATACATAAACTGGGCTGGTAGTATTCCCTTGATGCAGTGCTGAGAGAAGCAAGAAATCACTTCCATGGACATTTGAAAATTCCTTTATAAACAAAACTTTGCTGTGCATATATACAGTTTTGAAAAGGCACTGATACCTAGTATGTTGTTCCTGCAATTAGAAAATAACTTGCTAAAATATAATTGTTCTATTCCCGATTGATAAGTGTGCTACACTCACTTGAAGGCTTAAAGTCAAACGTGTGTTTGGCTGGTTTTTTTTTTTTTTTTTTGAGCTGTTCTCACTATGTAACCCAGGCTGGCTTCAAGCTGTCAGTCCTCTTATATCCATCCAGATCCTGAGTGCTTGCATGCACACCACACCTGGCTATAAGTGGACTTTTTTGAACCTAATGGCTTATAAATTTAAAATTATATGCCAGAAGTGCTTGGTGCAGTATATAGCATATACTTGATGTGACAAGAAATCTCATTGCTGTTTGGAACACTGATGACCCAGAAATAATCCACACTACTCTGCAAAGCAGAATAAGTGCTCAGATGAACAGAGCAGGGTACGTACTAGCTCTGTTGGAATGAACTGTCTCATGCTTGCGCTGCTAGCTTGATAGATACTACTAATATTAAACTTTCTCTGCTGCTGCCGAATTTCAAACAAGAGCAGACACCCTTGATGTAAGTCTACTGTGAGCACAGACGAACAGGAAGAAAAGCTGCCCAACTTCAAACATCCCAGGAAAACAGAAACAAATGGATGGGCAGTCCTAACTGCTGATACACTGTGGTAACAGGGATGATTTTGTTTTTAGAACAACTGAGTCACTAAGTTTGTGAACTACAAAGGAACATACCAGGAACCAGTCCTATGTTAAGCAGGAAGTAAAACCATGGTCTTTCAGATGTGGCTGGAGTTCTGTGTGATGTGTGCCCTGTGTAGCCTGACAGACCTGTCCAGAGCAGTTCTTGAGACCTGACTGGTAACCCAGGTGCTGTCTCTGACTAGCTTTGTTGTCTTTGCAAGGCCAGTGGATTCCTCATCTGTACACTTCAGAGACTGGGTTAGGTGATCTCAGCTGTCAGTTCTCATTTCAGATGTGAGAGTTGCAGGAACCAAAATGATTGAAACCTTTATAAACCCTAAATCATGAATTACAGAGAATGGAATCCATTTTTCTTCAATAATGATGTCACCACACTTCTAAGTTTGAAAATTATTAAGTCAACTGTTTTAAAGGGTTCTGCATATACTTTAATGTACACATTCGTAAGTATTTTTCTAGGATAGCACCCAACATTTTTGTAACTATGTTAATTTATTACTAGAATAAATTACATTGGATACTAAGTAAAATAAAAAAAAAGAGGCTATGTGGAGCACCTGACTGTCAATGCCCCTCTGTGATCCAATTATACATGACTATATCCACACTAGAAAGCTGATTTGCTTTTCTCTTGTTAATCTTGTGTTGTTTCAGGGGCCCCAGACAAGTACCAAGAGGGCAGGGGAAAATTACGTTTTCCTCCCCTAGGTATACAAGCATAGCAGGATACCCTGGCAGAGCCATTTCTCAACAGAACCAAGAATTGTTGGAGGTTTTAACACTTAAGCTGGACTGAGTACAAATCCATGAGTTGAAAGTTGGAGATGCTGTGTAGCCATGGCGGGCTTCCTGGAGCCACAGCAAAAAAGACAAGAAGAGGTGCTAGTAGCATTTGTCACAGGTTACCAGTGACAAATTTATGTACATAGCAATGGCTTTGTCAGTAATAAAATAATGGTGGAAAACATCACTTTCACATAACATCAAAAATAAAAAGTCAATCCTGTGTAGTGAGGGGAGGAGAAAACCCTGAAGAATCTAACACACGCTTTGACTAAATGAAGGGGCATAATATGATCTGTTATGGAAAGACTGGTTATTTTCATTGTAATATTTATTACAAATTATTCAATAAGAGAACTTGATAAGACAACTTTAAGTTTGATCAGGAAGGGCAATGAAAATTGTTTAAAAAAGAAATGTGGCATTTTGTTGGCATGAGAACGGTGAGGTGAGTAGCAGACCACGGTGCTTGTGTCATTAGCTGCGTGGAGGGTCCCCAGGGGGAAATAGAACGGGTTACAGGTTATGACAGGAAAACAACGTGTCGAAACTGAATGCTTTTCTTGCTTGTTTCCTGGATTGCAAAAATGTTTTTGAAATTCTTCTCGAATTCGGCCTGAACTGTGTGGCCCAGTCTGATGAACTTTTTGCCCTGAAAAGGAAAGGACAAAAGCTACAGTAACTATCATAGATTATCTGGTAATGCAGAGCCTCACTTAGACAAATTCAAACCTTAAGTGTGAATTAATTCAGTGGAGAGGAGTTTATGATGTTCCCTGATAATTGGTTATCTCTCCTTACTCATAAGACAGAAAAACAGAACTAGTACTCCAGGTTGAATATCCCATATCCAAAATAGTTGGAATCACAATTGTTTTGGATTTCAGATTTCTGAATATTTGCAGATACACAATGAGATATACTGGGGGTAGGATCAAAGCCTAAACAAGAAATCCATTTATATTTCATGTAAACCTTATTCAGTGAGCTTGAAGGTAATTTTATACAATATATTTAATATCTTTACTCATGAAACCAAGTTTCATGGTGTATAATTTCCCACTTGTGCTATCATGCTGGTATTTAAAAACTTTCAAGGTTTGGAGAATTTCAGATTTTTAGATTTTCAGTTTAGGGATGTTCCACCTATATATTACAGTCTAATTCCTGTTCATAAATTTATCAAATCAGTTTTTTTTTTTTGAAGACAGGATCTCACTGTGTAGCCTAGGCTGACCTTGAACTCACCATCCTCCTGCTTCAGCCTCTCTAGTGCTGGAATCACAAGGCTATACCTTGTTTAGTTTGATTTTTTAAAAAAAATTCTCATTACTTGGTTTTTCAACACAGCATGTATTATTTGTAGCAATATGATAATACAGAAATGTCTAAGGCAAATTATCAGTGTCTTTCTTTTCTATTACTTCATCCCCTGGGAAGTCTTGGTAGATTTTTGATACGCCACTAGGAAAACAGGATGTAAGAAATCCAAGATTTTGAAATTTAAGAAATTTGACTTGTATCTTTTTTTTTTTAGCAGCACTGGGTTTTGAACTCAGGGCCTCACTCTTGCTAGACAGCTCTACCACTTGAGCCACTCCACTAGTCCTGGTGTCTTCTTTCAGAGAAGAAAAACACTAGTTGCCTTTACAATGCCCTCCTATAGCAGTGAGGTCTGCAGCCTGCTGTTCTCCATGGGGGAGAATTAACTTTCCTGAAGTGAGTGAACTCTGAGATTCTAGGGTCAAGTTTGCAATGACACCTTCTGGTTTGTGGTCACTTTCTCCACCTGCACCACAGGGCTTTTAGAATTCTTTTACTTGCAAAGGCTTGGTGCACAGTGAGGGCAAGCATAGCATTCACACGACATAAGAAGATAAAAGGTGAAGTAACATAACTCAAAGAAAAAGGGAAGTGGGGAGAACCACTTACTTTGTAAAATTTCTCGTGATTCTCAAAGATGAGTCGCACGTTCCGCACGAATGCCCCCACCCGGGAGTACGCCTTCTTATTCAGCCTGTTCTTGATCTTGTTTAGCCACATGTGCTCCTGGAGGCCCTGCAAGGACTTTCTACTCTGTTGGGGAAAACACCAAAGGGAGCGCTATTAGTATGGTTCCCGGTTGGCCTTGCAGGCCCTCCCACCATTATGGTCTGATGGTCCCTTTTGTGTCCCTTTCCTTCCAATTCATATGTTGAAATTCTGACCCCAATGTGACAGTTTTAGGATGTGAGACCTTAGGGAGGTAATTAGGCCACGAAGGCGGAGCCCTCCTGAATGTGATTAGTGCACTTATTGAGACTCTGGGGAGCTCTCTCCCTCTCTTTCTATCACGTGACAACACAGTAAGAAGGTGGCCATCTGCAGTCCGGCAGAGGCCCTCAGCAGTACCCAACCATGCTGGCTCCCTGGCCTGAGACCCCCAGCTTCCAGAACAGTGAGAAACAAATTTCTGTTGGGTATAATGCTCCCTATAATGCATATAGGAATTTGTTATGGTAGCTTGAACAAAGTCACCCATCAATAGGACAAAGAAAATGGCAACCTGTACCTGTGGGATTTGGATCACAAGTTTCCAGCTTTGTTGCTGTAACTTACATAGTATGGTTTTGAGGCAAAATAGGCACTTTCTGGGCAACAATAGATCATCAATAGAAGTAGCTCACATTTCTGCAAGAGATGGAGGGGATTTTAAGTAAAAAAGATTAAGCATGTCAAGATACAGCTCATGAGTCCCGACCTGTGGAGTCTTTGATGCAAACGTGAAATGGGATTTTCTCCGGAGTACACGTTTTTGTGTTAGGCCGAGTTCAACGGGTTTGCTTTGGGCACTGTTACTCTATCCACCACGAGACTGTGTCCCTCTGTGTCAACCAAGAGTAGGGGCATCAGTACACTTACCAGCTGTTCCTTGGGCAGCATCTTCCTCTTTAGGACCTCAGACTCCTGATGACATGGTTGGCCATCTTGGCACCTTTCCCGAATAGCCTTTGTCTTGCAGAAGATGCAATGCCATGGGTTCCTGACTCTGTTAGGCATAAGGTGAGTATAGGGTCTGTGAACCAGCAAGTCAGCTTCTCCCTGGGCACCCTGTGCTTACTCAAGAGGCCCATTACAAAATTCTCATGGTGCAGAGATAGGAGCTATACATGGACTAGACAAAAGAGCTGATCTGTTTTCTGCCTCTGTAGATTAGCTAACTGGTCAAAGTAGGGGTTTGCTTTGATCCTCTGAGATGGTGCCCTCAGAGCAGGTGGACCCCAGGACTCCTCCCATCATGGAGAGGCAATGTTCTGTCCTCACAGATACAGACACATTCTTGGTAGAGATCACTGTCCTACCCCAGCAATTCTGCCCAATTCATCACTCACAGACCCGTTATTGACCTCTCTGGCATCCTGCATACTATCAACTCTGTCAAATGGCATTCATTTATTTAGAGATGGGTCTTGCCATGAACTCCTATGTAGCCCATACTGGCCTTCAACTTCCAATCCTCCTGCCTAAGCCTCCCTATTGCTAGGATTACAGGTATGTACTACCACACCCAGCAAAAGACAGTTATTATAAAGGGGTTGCTTTAGTGGGTTTGTACTCACAGAATCCTCAGGTCTTACTATATGCATGTAATCCAGAATCATCTGGCTTGGTGGACTTCTGAAGGCTCATTATAGCATCAGCTTTATCAGTGTTGTGATCTCATAGTGTGTGTGTGGGGTAATGCCTAAAACCTGCAGCCAGTGTGTGATGTCCTCACCCAAGCAGAGTGTACATGGCTGGGGACCAACGAGGGGAAATGGGTGTGACACCTCTTGCTATTGCACCTAATAGGCTCTTGAAGAGTTTTCTTTCATTCATCTCTGACAGCACTGCTAAATAGCTCTGCATGCTACTTGATACTAAGGATTCTTCTGCATCAAGACACATCCAACCAGAGACAGAAACTCTGAAGATCATGTGTGCATGGTAGACAGAATAGAACCACAAGAAGGAAGGGCTGGGGGCTGCACCTTACTAACCTCTTAGCTTCCACAGGTGGGATGTGGCAATTCTTATGATAGGATCTTGAGCAAGTGTCACAGCGACGCATCTGCCCACTCTGATGGCACACTTCACATTTATCTGAGTTATTTAGCTAAAAGGGGAAATGACGTAGATATTATTGAGACCAGTGAGAGCAAGTTCTAGAAAATGTGCCCTTTGCATGTACAACTAAGGGAATGCCCTTAGTCTCTCCCCTCAACTATTAAGGAGCAATACTGAATAAAAATTTTAGAATTAGATATTTTGGTCCACAACAAAGTTTAGGAGATAGTCACTATGTGTCAGACCAGAACACTTTTCTTTATGAAAACTGTGATTCTGACACAGAATGACTAGCAACCACAACAAAAAAGATGGCCAGGATTCAGGTCTAAATGTCCAGGGATGTACATGGCAGGTGTGGTCAGGAAGGAGCTGGGGTCATCAAGGAAACTGAAGTAAGCAAAAGATGTAGGACAGAGCTCCAAAGAATCTCCATATTTTAAGTGGAGGATGAAAAGAAAGGCAGATTGTTAGGGGAAAATCCAAGAGCATGGAGTGCTACAGAGTGAAGCATAGAGAGTGTTTCTAGAAGAGGTGCAACAGTCCTTGTCATCTCCCTACCCACCAGTGTCCCAACCCCATCAATGGCGGGACAGTCTCCAAGTCTGTGCATTACTTGGTACTTAAACCGTCACAAGGGGATGCGAGCAGCTTCTTCCATCCCATGATGTAGACAGGATATTTCCTCTAGAGCCACTATCCAATGGACAAAATGTTTCTCCACCACACAGTCTCCCCACCTCCTGCCCCAAACTGCTCTCTTTCTGCTCTGATGGTTGCATGAGAGAAGCCAGGGGCCCATTCTTCTGGATGTTTCTCCAGCACAGGTACACAGCAGCTCTCATATGCAGAAATAAAAAGGTATAGGGATCCACGTGTTATTACTATATAAATTATCACCAAAATTGTTTTATTTATTTTTATGTATGGGTCACTCCATAATATTTACATGCAAACACGGTCACATTTTCAGCTTCACAAAGTGAAATTAAATCTGGCTAATGCTGACACATGTTGAGGGGTCAGAAATCCAGTATTCATCAGTTTCCTGGGTCCCTCTATCTTTGTTTCATAGACAAGGTTACCAGTTCATTCACAGGCCAGAAAAAGATGGTAGAATCTTAGTCTTCAACCCTGGGTGGTAATCAAGACCACTCTCCTTGAACATTAGCGATCTTACATGCCAAGTTGGCTGAGTCATGGGGACCTTCCCCAGGCTCCAAAGAACCCTGTCTTCCCTGGCCCCCGTCTAGTTATTTGTACCCATGGTCCTTCCACTCCAGAGGGGCTGCCAAAGGCATAGAACCCACAGTCCAGAACTCATCCAGGGACTCCTCCTCAGACCATTCTTCAACTCATAAGAAGCTTATGACTAACACTATAGGATGCAGTGATTCCTCAGAAGTTTATTCTACCATATCAAATTCTCAGAAAATCACCCTTGGTGGAATTGTCACAATGAATTCCCCCTGTACAATGAATATATCCTAATAAAAAAATCTGAAAAAAGAAAATCACCCTTCGATGATTCAATTTAAATACAGACAACTAGATTGGATGCTGTGTTCCTGGGTCAGGTTTTCCCAATTGAGTAATAAATGTATCAGGTTATCTTTAGCTCATCATTTTTTGTTCTTGTTGCCAGCCATTCTGTGTTAAAAGCACTGATTTCATAAGGAAAATCAGATAGCTGGAGTCCCATCACCAGAGGTTTTGATTCACTTAGTCTGGCTTGGGTCTGAGACATCGGTGAGTTCTAAGCATTTCCAGATGGTCCTGGCACACGGTCATCGGTGAGATCTGCATATAAAACAGTAATTTCCAAACCAGCAGCATCAGCGTTACCTGGACTTGGTAGAAACACTCATTCTTGGGCTCTCCCCCTCCCATGCTGAATGGGGCCCAAGCAGGGGCCCAGGCAGCCATAGCCAGCCACGTCCTCCAGGTGGATCTGACAGATGCTACAAATTGAACAGCACCAGTCCACAACCACTCACAACTGGGATTGTGCTAAAAAGCACTACAGGAACTTGGGAAAATCTTGATTTTCAGGCAGCATCTCAGATCAATACCATTAGAATCTTGGGGGTGAGGCACCCCCTGTGTTGGAGTGTGCAACTGAAATGATCAGATCTGAGCATTTTTTGATGGAATCTTTAGGGACTTTTAATTATGGCATCATATTGTCTAGGGATGGAGGCATAGCTGGAGTGGTATAGCATCTGCTTAACAAGTGTGAAGCCCTAAGTTCAAACTCCAGTAACATCAAAAAAGAAAGAAACAAAGAAAGTAAAAGCAGCATATTATATAAAAATAGGGAGAATTGGACTTTTTCTTTTCCTATTTGTATATTTTTTATTTCTTTCTTTTCCTTTATTGTTCTGGCTAGGAGCTCAATGGTAGGGAGAGTGGACAGCCTTGTCTCATTCCTGACGAGAGGAAATGCTTTCTATTTTTCCCCATTTATTATGACGTTGGCTATAGGTTTATTGCAGATGGCTTCTATTACATTGAGATATTGCTAGCTTCTTCAGGGCTTTTAACATGAAGGGATGTTGAATTTTGTCAAAGACTTTTTCTGTGTCTATTGAGATGATCATATGATTTTTATCCTTGATTCTATTTATGTGTTGCATTATGTTTATTATTTTGCTTATGTTGAACCATCCTTACATTCCTGGAATGAAACCAACTTGATCAGGGTGCATGATCTTTTTAATATGTTGAATTGGTTTGCAAGTATTTTATGAGAATTTTTGCATTTATGCTTACCAAGAAAACTGATCTATAGTTTACTTTTCTGGTTGTGTCCTTCTCTGTTCTTGTTCATTACCCAGGGTAATGCTGGGTTCATAGGATGAGTTTGGTAGAATTCTTTCCCTTCTATTTTATGGGATAGTTTGAGGAGCATTGGTGTTAATTGTTCTTTAAAGTTCTAGCAAAATTCAGCAGCCAGTTTATCCAGTCATGGGATTTTTCTTTGTGGGGAGACTATTGCTGTTTCAATTTCATAGTGTTTCATCAATTTTCTTAAGTGGTTTATACCCTCTTGGCTCAATTTTGATAGGTCAAATATGTCTAGAAATTTATCCACTTATAAATTTTACAGTTTTTGAAATATTCCCAATTATCCTCTGAATTTCATTGGTATTTGTGTGATATTCCCTTTTAATCTCTAATTTGATTAATTTGGGTATTCTTTCTTTTGGCTAGGTTGGCTAAGGATTTGCCAATCTTGTTTATCTTTTTAAAGAACCAACTTTTTGTTTCATTGCTTTTCTGTACTATTGTTTTTATTATTAATTTATGTCCTAATATTTATTATTTCTTTCCATTTACTGCTTTTGGGTTTGGCTTGCTTTTGTTCTTCTGAGAGTCTGGAATACAACACTAGGCTGTTTATTTGTGACCTCTGTTTTTTTTTTTAATGTAGACATTCATAGATTTAACTTTCCTCTTGGTGCAGCCTTTGCCGTGTCCCAAAGATTCTGGTAAGTTATGTTTTCATTTTCTTTAGATTCTAAGATTTTAAAAATTTCTTCCCTTATTTCTTTTGACCCACTGATCATTAAAAAGTGTTTGTTCTAATAGCCTCAAAAAAAATCAAATACCTAGGTGTAAACCTAACAAAGGATGTGAACGACCTCTACAAGGGAAACTATAAACTTCTGAAGAAAGAGATTGAGGAAGACTATAGAAAGTGGAGAGATCTCCCATGCTCATGGATTGGTAGAGTCAACATAGTAAAAATGTCTTTACTGCCAAAAGTAATCTACATGTTTAATGCAATTCCCATAAAAATTCCAATGACGTTCATTAAAGACATTGAAAAATCTACTGTTAAATTTATATGGAAACACAAGAGGCCACGAATAGCCAAGGCAATACTCACTCAAAAGAACAATGTTGGAGGTATCAAGATACCCGACTCCAAACTATATTACAAAGCAATAACAATAAAAACAGCATGGTACTGGCACAAAAACAGACATGAAGACCAGTGGAACAGAATAGAGGACCCAGATATGAAGCCACACAACTATAACCAACTTGTCTTTGACAAAGGTGCTAAAAATATTCAATGGAGAAATAGCAGCCTCTTCAACAAAAACTGCTGGGAAAACTGGTTAGCAGTCTGCAAAAAACTGAAACTAGATCCATGTATATCACCCTATACCAATATTAATTCAAAATGGATCAAGGTTCTTAATATCAGACCCCAAACTCTAAAGTTGATACAGGAAAGAGTAGGAAATACTCTGGAATTAGTAGGTATAGGTAAGAACTTTCTCAATGAAACCCCAGCAGCACAGCAACTAAGAGATAGCATAGATAAATGGGACCTCATAAAACTAAAAAGCTTCACTCAACAAAAGAAATGGTCTCTAAACTGAAGAGAACACCCACAGAGTGGGAGAAAATATTTGCCAGCTACACATCAGACAAAGGACTGATAACCAGAATGTATAGGGCACTTAAAAAACTAAATTCTCCCAAAACTAATGAACCAATAAAGAAATGGGCAAGTGAACTAAACAGAACTTTCTCAAAAGAAGAAATTCAAATGGCCAAAAACACATGAAAAAATGCTCACCATCTCTAGCAATAAAGGAAATGCAAATTAAAACCACACTAAGATTCCACCTCACCCCTGTTAGAATAGCCATCATCAGCAACACCACCAACAACAGGTGTTGGCAAGGATGCAGGGAAAAAGGAACCCTCTTACACTGTTGGTGGGAATGTAAACTAGTACAACCACTCTGGGAAAAAATTTGGAGGCTACTTAAAAAGCTAAACATTGAGCTACCATTTGATCCAGCAATATCACTCTTGGGGATATACCCAAAAGACTGTGACACAGGTTACTCCAGAGGCACCTGCACACCCATGTTTATTGCGGCACTATTCACAATAGCCAAGTTATGGAAACAGCCCAGATGCCCCACTACTGATGAATGGATCAAGAAAATGTGGTATCTATACACAATGGAATTTTATGCAGGCATGAAGAAGAACGAAATGTTATCATTCACTGGTAAATGGATGGAGTTGGAGAACATCATTCTGAGTGAGGTTAGTCTGGCCCAAAGACCAAAAATCGTATGTTCTCTCTCATATGCAGACATTAGATCAAGGGCAAACACAACAAGGGGATTGAACTTTGATCACAAGATAAAAGTGAGAGCACACAAGGAAGATATGAGGATAGGTAAGACACCTAAATAATTAGTTAGCATTTGTTGCCCTCAATGCAGAGAAACTAAAGCAGATACCTTAAAAGCAACTGAGGCCAACAGGAGAAGGCAACCAGGAACTAAGAAAAGGTTAGATCAAGAAGAATTAACATAGAAGTTAACACACATGTACAGGAAATTAATGTGAGTCAACTCCCTGTATAGCTATCCTTATCTCAACTAGCAAAAACCCTTTTTCCTTCCTATTATTGCTTATACTCTCTCTTCAACAAAATTAGAGATAAGGGCAAAATAGTTTCTGCCAGGTATCGAGGGGGTGGGGGGGAGAGGGGGGCAGGGTGGGGAGTAAGGGGGGGTGGGGGCAGGGGGGAGAAATGACCCAAGCATTGTATGCACATATGAATAATAAAAAAAAAAATAAAAAAAAGTGTTTGTTCAGTGTTCAGGTATTTGAATATTTTGTGTAGTTTCTCTTGCTGTTGATTTCTAGTTTCATCCCACTGTGTTATGATAAAATATAGGAAGTTATTTTTGATGTTCTTGTATTTGTTAAGATTTGCTTTATTTACTAAAACCTATTTTGGAAAACAGGGTTCTTCTCTGTGGGCTGCTGAGAAGAATGTGTATTCTGTGGCTATTGGGTAAAATATTCTGTGTCTGTTATGTTCATTTGATTTAGAGTGCCATTTGATTCTGAAGTTTCCTTGTTTTGGTTGTTTTGTCTGTATGACCCACTTATTGATGAGGGTTGGGTATTGAAGTCTTCCACTATTATTGTGTTGGGCTGTATCTGTGCATGCATGTCCAGAAGTATTTGTTTTATGAAACTGGGTATATAAACATACAGTGTCTACATATTTACAACTGTTATATCCTCTTGGATTGTTCCCTTTATCAGTATGAAGTCACCTTCTTTGTCTCTTCTGACTAGTTTTTGTTTGAAGTCTGCTTTGTCAGATATGAGTATAGTTACTCCTGCTTGCTTTTCAGCTTTATTTACTTAGAATAACATTTTGTATCATTTCTCTTTAAGCCTGTATTTTTCCTTGCCAGTGAGGTTCATTTCTTATAGGCAATGAATGGTTGGGTCTTGTTTTTTAATCCAAATCACCAGTTTCTGTCTTTTGATTGGAGAATTGAGACCACTAACATTCAGAATTATATAGTAATCCCTGGCATTTTGTTATTTTTGTAATGCTTCCTAATCCTCATTTGCTTATGTACTAATGAGATTTATTCTTTCTTGTATTTTCATGGTTGCATTTATATTCCTCTTCTGTATATAGGATTCCTTTAAGTATTTTCTGTATTACTGGCATAGTGAACATGAACTCCTTTTGTTTTTGTTTATCACAGAAGGTTTTATTTTTCCTTCAATTATGAAGGATAGCTTTGCTGGGTACAGTAATCTACATTGGCAGTTATTTTATCTCATGGTTTGAAATGCATCATTCAGTGTCTGCCTTGCTATTAGAGTTTCTGTTGAGAAATCTGCTGTTCTTCTGATGGGTTTGCATTTATATGTGACTTGAATTTCTCTCTTGTAGTTTTCAATATTCTTTCCTTGTTCTGTTTACTCAGTGTTTTTACTAAAATATGTCATGAAGAGGTTCTTTTCTGGCATCCTAAAAAACCTCCTGTACTTGGATGACCACCTCTTTCTAAATATTTGGGAAATTTCCTGCTATTATTATTATTATATTATTATTATTTGTAGTACTGGGGTTTGAACTCAGAACTTCATGCTTGCAAGGCAGGCATGCTACCACTTGAGCCATTCTACCAGTCCAATTTCCTGCTATTATTTTATTGAGTATGTTTTCTATGCATTTAGCATGCACCTCTTCTCCTTCTGTGCCCATAATTTTTAGGTTTTGTCTTTTAATGGTGTCCCAGACATTTGCATGTTCTATTCCTACTTTCTTATTTTTTCTTTATCTGAATGTTCTAGTTCTTTTACCTTGTCTTCCAGCTCCAGTATTTTGTCTTCAGCTTGATCTAATCTATTGGGAAGGCTTTCAACAGTTTTTGTTTTTTCTTTCTGACTTACTGAGTTTTTCATTTGAAGAATTTCAATTTCTTTTTTTCAGAATTTCTTTATCTTTATTGAATTCCCTTTTCATATCCTGCATGTGTTCCTTATTTAATTCTGTTTATTTGTATTTTCTTGGAGTTCATGTAAGCATTTATTTATATCCTCTTTAATTTCATTGATCATTCTTATAGCCCATAACATTACAGTCAGTCTTATAATCTTATAATCATTCTTATATCATTCTTTTGGATTTTTAGGGATTTTATCCACTTCACTAAAATTAATGCCATGATTGTGGAGCTTTGGATTGTTGATTTTTGGAGGAGTCATTTTGTCTTTTTTTGTTGTGGTTGAATATTTCTTATGTTTTTGCATTGAGATCCATGCAAC